ATAAACTTTAACAGACTGGATACTGCAAAAATATCGTTTAGATAAAGTATAAATAATTTAGGTCCTAGGACTGAGCCTTGAGGAAGACCACATTTTACCATGTCTGTCTGTGACTTAGTGTTGTTAATTTGTACATATTGTAATCTATTACCCAAATAACTCTTTAACCACTGATATGCAACTCCCCGTAAGCCATACAGTTCACATTTACCCAATAGTCTTGCGTGGTCAATAGTATCAAAAGCCTTGCATAGGTCAATAAACACACCTACGGTATTAAGCTACATCGTGTCCGTGATGCATTTTAATTTTCCCCTTTTACAGGTAAGAGCGAGAATTGTTTTATGTTTGAATCGTTTATGAATGCACCCGTATTGTTTTGGTAATGTGGAGAGTAAACATTGACTCATGAATACTGTCTGTGCACTTAGTAGACAGAACATGATGCGTTAGTATAGCTACATGCTAACTGTGTCGGGCGGAGTAATGCTACGAGGTGGATCAAATAGAACGCTGTTGCCATTTTTTCTCCAATTGTATTTGTTTTATATGGTAAGAACTGTTTAGGATTATTGTTCAGACAATGTTTTGTAAAAGAGAATGACATTTGTAATAATGTGAACACATGTCTACATCGTATCTGTGTTATATTTCTATTTTCCCCTTTTACAGGGGTGTAACACCTGCACATTCTGCTGTTCAGGTCCTCTTTCTGTCTCCATGGAGGGGACAGAAGCAGCTCAATTCAATTTTCAATTCAATTTTATTTATATAGCGCCACATCACAATAACAGTTGTCTACTCTGAAGTTAATTACAGAAACCCACCAATTCCCAGCTGTCAGATCTATCAGAATCAGGCTATAGATTACAACAAAAACACAGAGAAGAATAAATAATTAAAAAAATTATTTCCAGCAGAAATGGATCGTACCTGCAGAATGTTTGGAATTTTTCCCTCCCATAGCTGCTGGAAAGTAACAGAGAAAACATGTTAAATTAGAACCTTTTAAAATGAGATACAATTTAGAATCATTCATTCCTGTCAAATGAACACAGCAGATTGTAAAAGTTTTGTGGTCTGTGGGTTCTGATGGAGTTTTATCTGCTGGTCATATTTGAGTCAGGATATTTCTAATGTGCTGGTTTACTTTGCTGTTTGCTGTTACAGCTTTAAGGTTAAGTGATGTAATTCTCACGATGCTGCCTTACATCCACAGATGTATTTTCAGTCCAGATTAGACATGTATCATGACTCACAAGCCGCAGACATACAAGAAAATAAACTCGGAAAGAAATCTAAAACATGATGCAGCTGTTAACCATCCAAAATGTGTCTCACATGTATAAATCTTTGTATATTGCTGTAACACCAAATGATAGAACTAGAAAATTTCTGAAGAAATTTTGGAGGGGGGCCACCCGCTGCCCGTCTGGGAACCCGGGCCGGGTCGGCCAATCGATGTTCGGGCTCTCTGTAATGTGGGCTCGCGCCTATGAGAGGGCCTGAGGTGATAGAGGGACCCGGCTGAGCTCTGGGGCCCGCTGACCGAATGCGGATGGGGTGGGCAGGTCGGGGGTCACGTTGGCTGAAAGCTGAGGAAAAGACCTACGCGACGAGGTATGACATGGCCCCGGTCCGGTTCCGACCCGGTTGGGTCCTATCCCTAGAACCGGAACCAGAACCGGATTCTGACTAAAGCCCTCTAAGCGGGCTTCGCCCGCCATGGTAACAGGAATAACGTATTTCTTAAAAAATCACTGAGAGCGGGCTTCGCCCGCCTTTTCAGCTCCCGGCTGAGCTCTGGGGCCCGCTGACCGAATGCGGATGGGGCGGGCAGGTCGGGGGTCACGTTGGCTGAAAGCTGAGAAAAAGACCTACGCGACGAGGTATGACATGGCCCCGGTCCGGTTCTGACCCGGTTGGGTCCTAACCCTAGAACCGGAACCAGAACCGGGCTCTGACTAAAGCCCTCTAAGCGGGCTTCGCCCGCCTTGAATCACAAATAACCTATTTCTTTAAAAATCATTGAGAGCGGGCTTCGCCCGCCTTGAACCAGGAGTATGACATGGCCCCGGTCCGGTTCTGACCCGGTTGGGTCCTATTCCTAGAACCAGAACCGGGCTCTGACTAAAGCCCTCTAAGCGGGCTTCGCCCGCCATGGTAACAGGAATGACGTATTTCTTAAAAAATCACTGAGAGCGGGCTTCGCCCGCCTTTGAAGCAAAAGCCCAGCTCACAGAACTCTGCAGAGTCTCTGTTGGTCGCCACGGCGACAGCAGCCAGGCCAAAGTCTCTGCTCCCACACCTGTGACTCATCAGTAAGCCGCAGTTCTGACACAGAGAAGTGGCAGTTTCTATCAAACGTTGCCTCCGAACGGCTGTACGCTGTTCGAAAACTATAGCACAAAACTGAAAAATTCTTGGACCGTGAGCGGGCTGAGACTTTCACGTCTCAGCACATCTGTTTATTTTTCGCCTGCTCCCAGCGGTTATTTTTTTATGGCAATTTCAAAATGAGGGTCGTTTTGTCTCTGGTGAAAAAAAATCTCTCCTTTCTTCCATTAAAATCCTATTGGAGAG